TATAATCTTGTTTAAAGCATTCCTAATGATTAATGGTAGCGATTAAGATAGTGTGATTCAATGGTTAAGCAATTTATTTTACAAGTACTCATATAGAAGTACTCACTTTGAGAGAGCTTTGTTTTTCTCTAAGGGCTGAAGGCCAATAGAAGTAAGAGTTACTGTATTTTTTGCTCAGTCTAGCAAAAACTACAACAAACAACACAAGCGAAAAAACTCTGGGAGTCTGCTGAACACCACGTAAAATGGTAGAGCAAAAAAATAACATATTGTTTTTGTCCTGTTTGTTCTATGTGCCCTTATCAAAAAATGTCCTGCTTTGCTGACAAAGTTTTTTCAAAAAAGCGACCAACGTGACTGCAAATGTTGTTATTACGGGAAAGCGCATTAACAGAGGAGAAGCCTAATATGGACTAAAATTGCTCAAATCCGAACTGAAGAAAGAAGGGCATAAGATGTAATTCAGCTCCATGTGTAGTTAGTCTTATCACAACTTATTAATAATCGTAAAAATAGATCAAATAAAAGTTGTTGAATTCAAGTTTCCAATTACCGGAGATTGAAAACAATAGAAAAGGTCACTTGGGAAATGCTAAAAGTATCCGCATCCRCTTACTAGAAAGTCTGCTTAATAGAAAGTACAAATACACAGTGTTTGTATGTGAGGAAAAATGGGGTTTTGAAAAGCTGTCCATAAGTAGAAATGTCCACTTACAGGAGCGTCCGTAAGTAGAGATTCAACTGTACCTGAATTCATTGTTGTAACATTAGGTATTAATTATTGTGGATTATGTTGAATTACTCTGTAATTACAGGTTTCTGTATTGCTTACTACTTTCTTGGAAACTCTGCATCCATACTTAGAGTTTATTGATAGTTGGGTGACATCAGGGACCTTCCATGATCCTGCCAATGAGTTTTTTATCCTATGGTAAGTGAACATTATGAAGAATTTGTAGACTGTCATTTTAATTCATTTCCTATATACAGAAAATGATTTGGGCTAATTGATTGAGTTGTTTGTATGGTTTGAAACAATTTATTTACTACATGTATACATTTCATAATTTATACATTGTCAAATAAAGAGGGACAAAAAAACATTGAGTAGCTTTTATGTGACCTATTCTACTCACACAGTTATTTGAAACTTCCAGAGTATAATTATTTTTTAATACTTTGTATTGTGAATAATTTCACATACAGACAAACAATGATAATAATAATTACAAAAATCATGAATTTGTTTAATTTTGAATCAGGGATGAGTTGATACCATTACAGAGTTCTTTATTCTGGGAGAAGGGAAGCAGTCTCAGAACTGATGAAACAGGTATGATGTCAAGTCGTGGTGTAATACTATTTATTTATCTTATAATTATGAAAGTAACGATATTATATTAAATATTATATATCATGTGTCTCCTTGACAATTATGATTTCCTTTTTATTAGATTCTTTTCTGGTCCCCTGTTTCTTGTCAAAACTTGTAAAACAGGTATGAACTTAACAGATTGAATGAATAAATAAATGTTAAARATTTATTTCTGTTTACAATAATATTTCTCGCAAGGATTTAGCAAACATCAACCATTATAATTAGTAAAGGTCCCCACCTGCAGTAGTTGTTCTTGCTAGCACATCCTCCTACATGACATATA